CCGGCACCGTGAAGCGGGAGACAAGCGGGACGGCCTGCCGTACCTGGGTAGTGGTTGGCATCCACAGCACAGCACAGCCGGTTCTTCTGCTTCATACAGCGGGCAACGCTGGCGCTACCTGCGCAGAAGGAGCGGCGCCATGGCGGTCGCATACGCAAGCGGAGGGACAGACGTACTGATCTCGCTCGACGCGACACTGATGCAGTTGGTCAGACTCCACAAACGCTGCCCCCTCTAGCGTCATATTTGTAACACATGCATGGTGAAAAGCGAAGGCCGGTTCCAAAATGACCATTTGGTTGGATTATACGGCCCTGTCGTCTGCACCTCCCCCATACGTTATCCTACAGCCCACTCCCTCAGCTCAGTCTGTCCGAGCGCTTGTCTTCCAAACTACCCGTGGCGCTTTGGGTGGATGTGGAGTCGCTTCGGTACTCGCTATTTGCCCCCGGCTCGGATGGCACGCGGCCGGTGGCAGCGGCCGCATCACCACGGTCAGGCGAGGCCAGAAGACCGCTTGGGCCATGATGAGCATTGCGGCGCGTTACAGAATCTCGCGACCAGATGGGGCAGTCAGGGTTCACACGTCAAACGTTGCTTGGCGAGATCTGACCCCAGAAATCCATCCCATCAAAATGTTCAAGTCAATTCGAGTCGTTCAGGCTATAAACGTCTAATGGAGTGAAGAGAGACTTCGCCAAAATCAATTGCACGCTAATCAGATGACACCAGCCCAGCGGAAAATCCCAACCCTGGCAATAGTGCGTGTGCGTGGGCGGGGGGGGGGGGGGCGGCGCGAGGGGAGTAGAAGAGCACAGCACTTCCCAATATGCGTTGCGCCAGGCGAGATACCTCCTAGGTCAAAATAAATGCACTTCGGGACACTTGTATGCAGACCGTTAGAGGTAGGCCTAACTGACCCGTCTCGCAGACGTAGAAGGCCGTGGACTCGCAGCTGGCGCTCTCCAGCTGAGACAGCGAGTCGGTCCGAGACGTCGCCTTAAGGCATTGCTTCGACTTGGAGCCTGCCGAAGTGTTTGGGAGTAAATGGGACCGCGCATCGCCAATGCCTTCGTCAGCCAGCGATGGCGCTTCGTCACCGACTATAAACATCGATTACGCACGACTTGGTTGTACTCTTACAGGGATGTATTGAACCTGCACTAAACTCGTATTCGTGCGGACATTTGTGTATTGCCGACCCATGATTTGGCGACGGTTTTGGACACGTAGGAGTAAAACTAACTCAGGATTGGAGGACTGCTGCAAGCAGGTGAGAGAAAGTACGTGGGATCTGCCACATAGTGAGTTTTAACAGCAGAAAAGAAGGATGCAGTGTGGAAAGTGTGTCAACACGAATACAGATTTCAGTCGTACACAACTGGACGTCAGCATTCGTGCTGCGATAGTATCCTCGTTCCTGCCTTACCATACCAGCTTTTAGCAGCACCTCCCATCCGCGGAAAATGAACGCGACGCAGAATGTCAAATCGGAGTGGGGTAGGGAATACTCGCCTTAAAGGAGCAAGTAAGGCGTGAGCTATGGAGCGGGGCAGCTACATACATTGCTGAACTGCATGCGATAACGACAAAGCCCGACGATACAACGCCAAATCCCCCGCCCAGTCAATCGACAGTCAATCGACAGTCAGTCAACAGTCAATCGACAGTCAGTCAACAGTCAATCGACAGTCAGTCAACAGTCAGTCAACAGTCAGTCAACAGTCAGTCAACAGTCAGTCAACAGTCAGTCAACATCAGTCAACAGTCATCAACCAGTCAATCAACAGTCAACCAACAGTCAATCAACAGTCAATCAACAGTCAGTCAACAGTCAGTCAACAGTCAGTCAACAGTCAGTCAACAGTCAGTCAACAGTCAGCTGACCGGCGACGGCAATCACCGTCTGTAGGCGGCTGGAGGCCAAGCGTCTCGAAGTCGATCGGTTCGCCGGTGGTGGCCCAAAGCCAGAGGGCGCGGCCGTCGTCCCAGAGGCCGTCCGTCCAGTGCGGCCCGAAGCGGGAGAGCACGGCCAGCTCCTCGGAGCTCTCCAGCACGGGCGGGTGGGCGCTGAGCGCGGCGCACTCGGCCACCGCCTCGTGCCGCGTCACAGGCAGCTCGGGCGACACCAGGTAACAGCTGGTCAGGTCCAGGGAGTCCCAGCCGGGCCGGCACTGGCCTGCCGGGCGGACGGGCGCCGGTCACAGCCGAGGTCAGCACGGAGGTAGCGTGTCAAGCACGGGACGGTAGTCTGAGCCGTGGTCAACACGATGGGGGGGGGAGGGGGGTCTAGCGAGGGACGGAGCCGCGTTCGGAGCGAGGTCAACATGGGGGGGAGCAGCAGCAAGGCGTCCGTGTCTGGCGAGGGACGGTGGTCAGAGCCGCGTTCAGAGCGAGGGCAACATGGGTGGAGCAGCAGCAAGGCGTCCGTATGTGGCGGCAATGTTGCGTGCTGGCCGTGAACATCAGAACATAAGAGGTGATCAGGGCAATATCTAGCGTGTTCCTAGATGAGCTGAATGACATATTAAAATATATCATATCAAAACATATCCAAGTGGTTGCATACAAAAATCCAGCAAAGCCTTGAGTTTGTATCAACGTATACACTATTGTTGCTCATAGGACGGCAGCAGAGCAGAGCAGAGCCCACCAGCTCCCTGGCCACACCATTCCCGCAAACGCTCACCCATCGTGTGAACGGCTCGACAGTGGAGGGGGTCGAGTGGGGTGGGGTGGGGTGCGGGGCGGGGCGGGGGTGTACTCACGGGAACAGTCCTCGGGGTGCACGCACTTGGTGTCCGGCGGACACACCCCGCCGTGGAACTGCTTCTGAGGCCGCGGCAGGTGCACCGGCGGCAGCGGCGGCAGCGGCGGCAGCGGCGGGAAGGGCGGCGGTGGCGGCACGAGCCCCACCGCTCCGGCCGCGCCCAGCGCCGCCACCAGCAGCCAGACTGGAACGGGCGCCCCCACCCGCCCGGCGTCACGGGGATGCGGGATGAGGGGTCGATGGGCTACAGGCTGCCGTGTCCGCACCGCGGGTAATGGCATACGGGTTCGTTGATCGTACACGTCTTCATGACTATCCATCGCAAGCTTTCCAGAGCTACCGCAGCTTCAGACAGACGCGATGCACCCCCGGCGGTGGAATCTCACGGTATGGGGCGGCGGGTATGCCAGCGCAAATTACTCCTTGGCCTACCGTGTATGATAATCAAGCTCACTTCGCCCGTCGCACGCCATTTACATTACGATAAGATGCTAACGCACAGCTCTGCATGGCGATTAAAACAAATGTATGGATGCAAGCCTTCAAGAAAAAGTCCAAGCATGATCAAAAGCAAATAACAAACATTCACAGACGCCATCACAATCTTACGGCGTATCATAGCGGCGCTCCGCTGAGCGAGTCCGTCCGCACCGGCGCTGCAGCACCTCCACTGGCACGGGTCGCGACCCCAGACTGACCGCGGCCGGCGCCGAGGTCACAAGGTCACCGCCACCGCCCGGGGCGACCGCCGCGGGCCATCGAGCGGCGGCGCCCCCGAACGGCGGACGCTGAAAACTGCAGACGATTGCCCAACGAGCTGCATTGAGGTGGGAATAAAGACAGTGAGTAAATGTTTGCACTCTTCTTGAATGGTTCAAGCTCATCCAACTTCGAGCCGTTCCGTCAGGAAAACGGATATTGACAGGACATCATGAGCTATGCATTTTTGAGCCATGGACTTTCCCGGCATGAGGGTGTTTATGCAGCAAAATCGCTCTCGCCTCATCGCTGATTTCTTTCATCGGCGCGTCCACCAACGGAACGAAGCGTGTCGTTTCTTCCACTGGTCACGGCAGGCGCTACGTGGACACGTGTCGTGTCTGTGAGACCGCACGTACTCAACGTTAGTCGCCAGGAGCGACAAAAACATCGCAGAACTGCCCTAAAATGACGTTCCCGCTTTGGCTACACGGCCTTTGTCTACCGCGCTCTCGGTGCACGCATATATGAACTGCAAGACAGCTGGTTTCTTTGCACTGACGCGTCACGGGTTTTATGTGCATAGGCAATTGGCGCCAGTGGTACGGTGCACCTCTGGATTAACTCAGGACGCGCCGAAGCTCGATTGCGAGTCAGCAAGACAGAAAGTCAGAAAATGCAGCTATTTTTCATTTCAAATGTGGCACCTTGGATAAAACATCGCCTGCTACAGCTGCGAGAAAAGTTGGTCAACATAGATGGCTACCGAGTGAACGATATGGTACCAGACACCAAGCTGAAGAAAACGTTCCACTGTACATATATTTAAGAAGCAAAATTAAATAAATCTACAACATTAACCATTGATGAACAAAATAAACATCGCCACCATGCAATGCAGTTAACAGTTGTGAACGCAAGGTTCCCGACAGTAACCATACAACTGAACTCCACATGATATAGGCGAAATGCCCCATATCTCACGATGACCCAGATCACCACAGGAGCCCACAACAAGCTCATCAACGAATCAGGACGTCCTCAACCGACAGACAGCTGATAATCGGTACAGGCATTTAGGTGTAAGTGCGACAGTAACAGTGGACAAATCGCAGCACGCATACGTGAAATATGCATCACACAGGTATTTACACCGCAAGCAGTAACTCCGCTCCCTGGACATGCCGAAACCCAGGCATCTTTGCATCTCCATGTACAGATACGCGCCCAGGGATAAGGCAGGTCAGACGACTCGCACTCTCCACGCGGCAAACATCATCACAGTGCGCACGAAACGGAAGGCATGTGCAGACCCGCACATGTACACACAGCAGAACTAAGACGGGCCGCTGCCCACCCGTGGGGCCCGACAAGACCGCCCGCCAGCCCGCATCACACTCCGCCGAGTCCAGAGTCCAGCCGCAACCGTCACCGCCGCGCCGACGTCGGCCACGCCGCCGCGCCCGGACGGCCCGCCGGCTCGCCGCGACGGCGCCGTCTCCAGCGCCGCCGGCGGGGGAGACGACGGGAAGACCCAGCGCGGGCCGAGACCCGCCCCCGCCCTGAACTGCCTGATCACGCCCCTGCTCGCCCGGGAGGCCGCGGCCGCGCCGGGTCACGAGCGCACCCGAGTCCCGACCCGGCTGGCGTCCGCCACAGCCGGACACGCCGGACACGCCGCCGCGCCACCGCCCAGCGGACCCGGCGGCGCTACTGCATCTTGCTGATCTCGAACTTGGCCTGCATCACCTCCTCGTCCGAGTCGACGACGGGCAGCGCCGTCTCGGACAGCGAGGCCGGGATGTTGTCCTCCACCCACCTGCCGGGGCCGGACAGGGTCAGGCGAGCGCCACGGCGCCGGTACGTCACGCCGGCTCACGACACCGCGACGCACCCTCCACAGCGCGGCGGCTCCTCCAGCTCTGACTCGCCGGGAGAGGAGGAGGGATCAGCAGTCGGCCTGGCATCAGCCGGCCCGCCACCTGGTCATTCTCCTCCGCCGCTACCGCCGGCAGCAGTCGGAGCACAGGGTAGACTTTCCTCCGCCGCTACCGCCGGCAGCAGTCGGAGCACAGGGCAGACTCTCCTCCGCCGCTACCGCCGGCAGCAGTCGGAGCACAGGGCAGACTCTCCTCCGCCGCTACCGCCAGCAGCAGTCGGAGCACAGGCCAGACGGACGCGACATCTGACTACGCGCCCCGTCCCTTCCAAGCATGCTCACGCTATCACCAGCAGAGTGTGTGTGTGTGGGGGGGGGGGGGGGGGAGCTCGGCCAGTCACCTCTGCGTCACAGTGCGACAAGAGCACAGGACCGCGCTGGGGAAGCATCACGAACACCGCGGCCTTCCCTGCACATCCCTGCCAGGGACGAATGCTCTCCCTCCCCAGCCGGTGGTGCACCGAACCAGACGGTGTGGGACTGACAGCCCGCACGGGAAGGCTCCGGACGGTGAGGCCACAGTCGTGACTCGGCACTGAGTCATAAGACTCGGTGCCAGCTGCCAGCCAGCAGAGCCGCCCTTCCCGTTCATGGTCATGACGGACAGCGGTATGCAATGGGGCTTGAGGGCCCTCCTCATTTGGGCGGTAAACAAATATTACAAAGTGGCCAGCAATGGGTCATTCCTGCTTCTTGTCTTACTAATATCAACAAGCATGAAAATTTCTGGTCAACATCTACAAAATCCAGGAAGCAAAGAGCGCTTCAAGAAAACTATTTTCATACCTCCTGACGCTGAAGTATTCTTTGTCACAGGAATACATAGCAGGAGGCATGCACTTAAGGCAGGAGGCGTGAGGCAATAACCTAGCCTAACCTCTCACATGACTGTTTCTTTGTAACTGACCTCGCGGTTGGATCGGTCCCAAAACAAAAATACTGACGCGTTTTTGCGCGTGTGCGTGCGCGTGCGAGAACATTTGCGCGTCCGTCAGTGCGCATTTTAGAACGTGCGCGCGCGCGTCCCTGCATCTGAAGGACGCCATCCGACTGCCCTGGTGCACTTTTTTAAGTGGCGACACTTCCAGGTCCCGCCATGTCCATACAGCTTGCTTGAAGCCCTCGGCAAGAGGGTCCTCACATCAGGCCATGAATAAAACCCAAAATGTTCAGCAGAAATGCGTATCAGATATTGAGGAAACAGAGCGCTACTGGCGATGAGCTGGTGATGAGTACCCATTATCCAAATTTCTTGCCGCCATCTCTCATAAGAAACGTTCCAAGACCATTGCATGAAAAGCAAAATCCACTTGTCGTCCGCTTGCAGAAAGCTGCGGCTGCAGCCATCTCATTGCCACCACCAAAGGAGAGGTGCGCCCGGTAGGAGGCGGCTTTGTGACTGCTCGGCCACCCGTCAGATTTAGCCGGGGCTCAACTCCACGCCCAACAAGAGCTGCTTCAAAACGGCTTTGGTTTTGTAAGGTGCGCTAGCAAATATGAGAGCGTGCAACCCATACCCGCGAAGGTATACGTCGTACAGCTTCGCGTACTGCACTACTGTTTATCGTAGTGGATCTGCGAAGACGTTCGCGGGACGTGTCCACCGCACACCTCCGCAGACGTGCTGCGGGCTGTCTGTATAACCGCCAGCACACCTTTGAAAAGGAAACCTGCTAAGAAGCGCTTCTTGTTGGGTGGGCAGTTTGAGCCCCGGTTAGATCTGTGGGCAGTCGTGAAGCCACAGCTCCCTTTCCGACCTGGGTGCACAGCATACTGGACCAGAACCCGGCTGGACCAGAACTGTTGCAACTGCAGCCAGCTGCAAGCGACAAACAAGCGATTTTGCCAGAACGCGTTACATGCGTTCATGCATTGGAATCGTTGCTACCAAGGATCGGCGACAAGGAAATTCTGACGCCATATGCTCATCAACAGCTGACCGTCACCGACCTTCTGTCCCTTTCACTACTCAATACGCATTTCCCGGAACATAGGTTTCCCCCGGCTTGGCGTGCCTTTTATCGCATTGGCGTGCATTGTGGGAGATCTGCTACCATGGATATCAGCGACGACGTTACCCGCTTGCTGGGACTCAAGAGCATGCGGTGGGTGAATATAAATGGAAAATAACATAATGACGGGTATGCTGAAAACGCGAATATGAAAAAGACATGCCTGATCGTCACAAGCAGCTTCCCTTAATACATTTACAAGCAACCTATCCACGCAAATGTTTCCCTGTCACAGCAGTCAGACACGTGGAACACAATTACCATCGTTATCGCTACGTTGCCCCCACCACAGGACAACACAGGCAGGGGGCGGCACCAGCTGCGGGCCGGCACGCCTGCCCCGCTGCGGCCCGGCCCGCCTGGCCGGCAGCACCGACTCACTTGAGGTCCTCGTCCGAGTCGTTGCGCGAGCGGCGCGAGTTGGCGCGCGAGCCGCTGGGCGAGCTCTGGCCGCGCGAGCGCAGCTTCAGGTCGTGGTAGGCGTCCGAGCGGAACAGCTCGTCCTCTTCGTCCTCGTCGCCGGCGTCCAGCAGCGGTGTGAACGCGTACCTGACACCGGAGAAAGGTCAGACAGGGGTGCGGCGGCTGGACGGGGGGGGGGGGGTCAGATAAGGACACCACGGAGGAAGGTCAGGCAGGGGTGCGGCGGCGGGACTGAGGACGGGGGGGGGGGGGTCAGATAAGGACACCACGGAGGAAGGCCAGACAGGGGTGCGGCGGCGTGACTGGGGGGGGGGGGGGGTCAGGTAAGGACACGCCGGAGGAAGGTCAGACAGGGGTGCGGCGGCGGGACGGGGGGGGGGTCAGATAAGGACACCACGGAGGAAAGTCAGACAGGGGTGCGGCGGAGGGACTGAGAGCGGGGGGTCAGGTAAGAACACGACGGAGGAAGGTCAGATGGGCGTGAGGCGGCGGCGGGATCGAGGGGGCCAGGATACCAGCGCAGCAGCGGATGGAGGGGTATGTCGGACTAGGCGCGGGGAGGCGTCAAGGGTTGCAGCAGCGGAAGCAGAGTTCACAACGGGCGGGAGGGACAGATTATAAGGGGAGCGCACGGGCGGGAAGAACGATCTCGGGTCAGCGGGGAGGACAGGTTATAACGGGGGCGTGCGGGCAGGAGGAACGGTCTCGTGTCGGCGGGGAGGACAGGTTATAACAGGGGCGCACGGGCGGGAGGAACGGTCTCGGGTCGGCGGGAGGACATGTTATAACAGGGGCGCACGGGCGGGAGGAACGGTCTCGGGTCGGCGGGGAGGATAGGTTATAACTGAGACACGCAGGCGGGAGGAACGGTCTCGGGTCGGCGGGGAGGACAGGTTACAACAGGGGCGCACGGGCGGGAGGAACGGTCTCGTGTCGGCGGGGAGGACAGGTTATAACAGGAGCGCACGGGCGGGAGGAACGGTCTCGGACCGGCGGTACGACAGCAGGAGGGAGGACTGTCGTCACCATAGCTGCGCAATGGTGACGTGGAGACATCGCTGAGAAGAAAAGGGAGGGGGAGCGAAAGGGGGGGGGGGGGGTGAACCTACGAATATCATATTTCCATGTTCGGCAATAGGTTACTAAAGGCTGAAAATATCAAAAGCCAGCTTTGATCGGTTAAACCACACCAACGCTAACCATGTACTAAGGACAGACAAGCCGTGTTGTTGCTGAATCTACACCAGCTGTTCGAGGATAGACCCCTTCTGGGTTGCGGCATGCGGCAGTACACACAAATAACAATCTAAGCGACAGTTTGATGGCAGCCGCGGACCCCCGCGTCGAAGTGCAGGCGCCGACGCACCTCTGGTTGTTGTTTGTTGGTCTCCAGAGCAGCATGATGACCAGCAGGATCATGGAGAAGAGGATGTGCCAGCACGCCTCGTCCGCCCACAGGTTCTTCCACTGGCGCAGGCAGCCGACAGTCCGGTGGAACTTGACCGACCACACCATGAAGCCGACCGAGGCCAGCACGGACAGCATCAGCGTGTTGGTGAAGTGACGGTACAGCGTCAGCTTCACCTCGTTCCTGCGCAGGGGAAGCCAGCGGTGTGCGGACTGTGATGCAAAAGTGCTACGTGCAGCAGTGACACAGCAAAAGACGCAAAGCGTTATGTTACCAGAAGCAGCTGCGAACTCAATCAAGCGTATAACAGCGGCCTTTTGCGACAGGTGCTCTGGTGTCGGGGGCTAATACCCTCCGCAAAGGCCCAGCCGAGCCTGGGTCACGACCTCCCGCCAAAACCGAGACCGAGTCCATCCGGAGCCCCGGCGTCCTCGAGCCCCCCCCCCCCCCTCCCCCTCATCACCGCCAGCGGCGGCGCGCGCCGAGCCTGCTCACCTGCGGAGTCGGAGGGTGCGCGTTGTGCTGAGCAGCGCCGAGAACACCCACCAGCAGATGCCGGAGTCGAGCAGCGCCAGCACCACCGAGGTGCCCAGCGTGCCGCCCGACATGTCGTTCTTGGGCCGCAGCGCGCGCGTGCAGCTCTCAATCGAGGCGAACATGAAGAAGATGAAGCCGACGGCCATGACGCGGTGCAGCAGCGGGCCGAGGCGCGGCCTACAGGGGGGCAGGGCGTCAGCAGACCGGCCGCGCCGCCACACTGCCACCCAGCGGCGTTGCAGCCGCGGGCGGCAAACACGGTGTGCGCCACAACATTGGAGGTAGCAGAGTGCGTGGAAATTCGCACAGTTTTTCAATGCAACAGCCGCCCTCAGGGAAGCCCTGGCACGTTCAGGCAACCCCTATGCCCATCCACACTACAATGCTACCTTGCCGCGGAACGAATCCTACTCATGTGATGCCAAGGATTTGCCAAATGCCGAATATAAGATCAGGGTCAGGTTATTTCTGTCAGCCCACAGGGAGACGCGTCGCGACAGCCCGCTGCCGCTCCGCCCTCACTTGGTGATGCCGAAGCCGAGCGAGACGATGATGACGAGCATACGCGCGAGAGCTCGCTTGGCGCACGAGACGATCTCGGCGAACACCACAGCGCCCCACACGCTGCGCCCGGTCCTGTTGACCGACTCGTACTCGGCCAGGAACACCGCCTGCGGGCACAGCGGCGCCAGGTCACGGCCGGGCTAACCGCAGTCGCCGGCGCGCCGCTGGCCGTCATGTCAGTGGCGAAACGGCAAACACGCGCGACAAGAACATGTGAGTCAACATGTAAGTCGCCGCGTGTGCGTGCATTCTGACATACAACCAACTTCTGAATGAGAAATAACCATGCGAGTGAGACAATGCCAGGAATAACTACACAAGCTAAGCTTCAAACCCTTTCATAATTTGTTGGACAACCAGCTTGATAAAACAAAACTACACCCGCACTATGACAAACAACCAGCTCGAAATACACGTCACACAAATACCTATAGCGATAACATGACAATCATCCGCGGCTCTGTCTTGAGGCAGCGCTGTTTCAGTGTGAAAGTCGCGCGGCAACGGGCGACCACGGTGCCGGCAGCTGGGTTATCACCTTCTCCAGCATGCCGATGGCGATGACGCCGCCGATCCAGAACTGGATGCGCAGCAGCTCGCGCCATTGTCGGGAGCACACCACCAGCCAGCCGAGTCCGTACAGCACGTACACGGCGCACATGACCGAGTAGAACTGCGGGCGCAGGCCACCGCGGGTCAACGCAGGTCCGGGTGAGCTCAGGGTCAGCTTGGGGTTAGTGTAAGGTCAGCCTAGGGTCAGTGTGAGATCGGTGTAAAGCTAATGTCAGATCAGTGTTAGATCAGTGTGAGACCAATGCAATATTAGTGTATGGTCGGTGCGATATCAGTATAAGGTCAGTATGAGATCAGTATGAAATCAGTGCAAGGTCAGTGGGAGGTCAGTGGGTGGTCAATGCGTGACCAGCGTGAGGTCAGCCTCAGGTCGGCGTGAGATCAGCGTAATCAGCATAAAGTCAGCACGGGGTCAGAGTGGGTGCTGTAGGGACATTCGAAGTGTACCCCGCGGCACTTCCCACCTATCCTTGATCAACCCACGCCAGTAACAACCGGTCCAGCCTGTCCCACCGCGCCAGTGCCCGCCCCTCTTGGCCCGTTTCCTCCTCCACCGAGCCTCCCTCGGCCCTGCTCGGCCTCACTCCTCCGTGGCCGTCGCAGCCGGTGCCGCCCGCCGTCCACGCGCCGCCTGCCCACTCCCCCACTGACCGGCAGGTACGGCCAGTCGGCGGCCGACAGGTAGCCGTGGGCGCCACGCATCTCCAGATGCACGGTCACGTTCAGCGGCCGCGGCGACGCCGCCTGGTCGCGGCCGGCCACGTGCACCACCAGCAGGAATATGCCATCGCCAGGGGCGCGGATCTGCCGATGGGGCGCCGTCGCCGCCGCCACCACCTGCTCCGCCCGCTGACGCGAGGGGGCCCGTCAGGAGAGGGGCGGCGGCCGGCGGTGCAGCCGGCGGATCTGCCGATGGGGCGCCGTCGCCGCCGCCACCACCTGCTCCGCCCGTGACGGCGAGAGGGGCCCGTCAGGAGAGGGGACGGCGGGGCCGGCGGTGCAGCCGGGCGGATCTGCCGATGGGGCGCCGTCGCCGCCGCCGCCACCTGCTCCGCCGTTGACGACGAGAGGCCCGTCAGGAGAGGGGACGGCGGGGCGGCGGTGCAGCCGGGCGGATCTGCCGATGGGGCGCCGTCGCCGCCGCCGCCACCTGCTCCGCCCGTGACGGCGAGAGGCCCGTCAGGAGAGGGGACGGCGGGGCCGGCGGTGCAGCCGGGCGGCAGGGAAGTGAGAACATATGGGGGCAGCAGAGAGCAGGCGCAGCTGGAAACAGGGAGCAAAGGGGTGGTTGAGTGGTGTGTGGGGGGGGGGGGGGTATCAGAGTGGAGCAGCAGGGGACAACAGCACAAGGTCAGTATGGGCAGCAGGAACAATGGAAACACCACGCAATAGCACAGGAGTACAGTGAAAAGGCAGCGAGGAGGACAATCTAATGGGACGGTGGGGAGGACAGCAGCGAAGTGGGGAATCGGGGAGGATGGCAGCAGAGCAGCACCCATGAAGGGCGCTGACCCGTTCGCGCAGAGGAGTGTGCAAAGTCCTTGACCCTGCTGCCAGCACAAGGGCAGAGGGAAAATAACAAGGTCAGAGTGTGTGAGAATGAGGAGAAAATAAACGCCCATAGCAGCACAAAACGGCAAGGCCGAGCCCCCACTGATGTCAGGATTGCGGGTGCTTTTCACGTGACACGGGCCCTCCCGACAGAAAGGCATTAGTCATGATACAAATATCACAAACATCTATGCAATATTATCACAAAATATACGCAGAGGTTAACCAAATCGCGTACAATATAGCCAAGTGGCGTTTCTTACGGTTTTTAGCGTCCACTGAGAAGTCCCCCGAAGATCGCGCGCCAGACCGACATACCGACCTGCACATCCCCCTCCCCCTCCCCGCACACACAGCCTGTCAGTCGTATACCATACCAAACCGTGTAGCCCGCTCCCACTGTCCCACCACTCCACACAATAGCCCTCCACATTCCACCGGCACGAGATCGGGTGGCACGGGGGCCGACGCCACGCAAACACGGCAGAATGCGGTCGCGCGCGCGGCCGCGGGCGGCAGCGGCGGCCGGAGCGGGCCGTACGCACGTACCGGACGGCGGGCGAGCGGCAGCGGGGTCGGCAGCTCCTCCGGCGACGACTGGACCGCCTGTGGACGCCACGGGCCGTCCGGGTGAGCCGGGGGGAGCACGTGCAGCAGAGGGCGGGGTGGGCACAGCGACAGCCGGCGGGTGTCGAGGTGGACAACGGGCCGCTCGTCACAGTGCGTGTTCACAAGGCTGGCTGCGTAATGGAGCTGTAGCATGTACTTTTTGATCTGACGAAAATAGATCAAAACGAATGAACAGAAGATGGCAAAGAGATTAATCAACAAATAGAAGCATTAAAAGAGACCAAAAATCGCTGGTCGCAATAATTCTTTTAGTTAACCTTTCATATTGCCCCAATTTTCAACTGCCGGCGGAGCTTGTTGCTTTAGTATAAATCTCAGTTCAAACCAAAATGGAAACTGGCCAAAGGACAACACACCAGCTGTGCTGGCCTAACGCGTGAGGCCGGGTTTCAGAGCCGCCAAATGCCAAGGTCATGTCATCAAGCTGTCGACGAAATACGCACTGCCGGCGCAGGCTCCGGCTCTGCAGGGGCGGACTTCGGCTCCGCAGGAGCGGACTTCTGCTCCGCAGGGGCGGACGGCGACTGCTGCTTGGCATCAGTGGTCGGCAGATTGACCTCAGGCTGAAATGAGAGTGCTGCTGCTGAGGATGACAGCACAATGGCTGACATGCGGTCCAATACTAGCATTACGTATCAATTGTACATACATTCTGGAAGCTGTCAGCTGTCCATCATCATGTAACAGGCACTTTAAGGTGCATACAAAATTCATTGTCTACTCAGACACCAAGTCACCAGTGGGAGAATGTTCTCCATGTTCAAAAGACACTAGGCACTGATTCTGGCACTTACCAGCACAACCTTGTCACAGGTGAACTGATGCTCAGGCCAGGTGGTGTACCATGTCTCATTGTACAGCAGCTTGTTTGGCATGTAGGCAGGATTCTCATACCAAAATGACAGGTTGCTGTCAGGTGGAGCCTATGGATTGCAGAAAATAACAAACATTAGCCATCATAGCCATTTTACATTCTGGATTGTGCTCAAACCTGCAGTTTCAATGACAACAAGGATATAACTGAGTCCATCACAATGATATTTCTAGCAATACATCAGTGTTATATTCCCATTTGGATAAGCAAGCTTTTAACTAACTTATTCCCGGAAACTTTCAACTTATATGTTAAGAAATGGATGCATCAATACTAACATCATAACAACTAACAGATATGACCAATTCACTGACCTGACTTTCTAAGTAGATATACTCATTCCAGCATGGCGTCTCCCTCAGCATCCAGCCAACCGTCAGGTTCACGTCATGGTTTGCACAGGTCACCCGAATGATGATGTCACTGTCCTTGTATAAGCTCTTGGACACTCCAATGTACTCATTCGGCTGAAATAAAAATAAGAATGTGAACATATCAGCACTAGGAAACATATCCAGATGCAGCACTTTAGGTTGGATCAGACTGTAGGAACTTAAATCAAGCCAGGTAATGTTTTGGTTGGAAGTGGGAGTGGGCATTGGGGTGAGTTCAAATAGGAGTATGACCAAGGTTAAAAGTAGGGGCAGGGCTGGAAGTAGGGCACATGGCTGGAGAACAGAAAGCTAAATGAAGGCTTTGTTACATCATTATGAGGAGTGGGGTTACCAGCAGGAGCATGACAAGTATGAGCAGGGTTAAGAGTAGCAGCTGGGATAGGCATAGGAGCAGGCCTTTGGGCAGTCAAATCCACCATAATATTGTGATATATGCAGTGAAATGGAAATGGCAGAAAGTCAACTGCATCCACTTTACAGCAATTCAGCTTTCTCCTATCATTTAAGTCTAAAAGGATTAAGCACTCAAAACACATACATTGTCTTGACTAGGCACACATAAAGCTACCACAAAATTTCATGATTTTAGTAGCAAACTGTCATATTCACACCAGCAATTTTCCTTTTCAAAGGAATTCTTCAAACAATCATTCTACTCAGTTTTAGTCTCAGCATGGTTCTACTGCATTTGGGAGCATTATAATAATTTCATCACTTATTTGGTACTTTGAGCTAACAGATGCCTTTCAAACCTTAAAGTTTGTTATTAGACTACAGTTCTTGGCTCTTATTTGCAACAGTCAGTTAATACAGGTATTAGTACACATCAGACCCACAACAATGTCATAAGTAGCCTCATCCAACCAGAGAGAAACAAAGTTCATCATCCAGGACCTCACAGTGAAACTCACCTTACTGATTGTAAAGTCCCATTGGCCCTGATCAGGCAGACTCTCTACAAGCGACCACGTGAGCAATATGACAGAGATCAAAGAAATATGCATGGCTGGGGCGATAACAGCTTCTCAGATGAACCTGGAACAGACAGGGCCTGATTCCAGTACTCTGCACATACGTTACTGTCCTGCTAAGTTAAAAAACACAGGCTCAAGTACCAAAATTATCGTATTCAAGACGGTCATTGTGAACTATCATCCCAATTGCATCTTATGTCCTACATTCCCGCATGCCCAGGGCTAGAAGTCTTCCCTTTGCATCCTTCCACGGCTTTCCCACCAGGGCCCATTGCATATGTTTTGGTATAGGTATACCACAGCACTTCGATGTATATTGCCGATGAATATATCACCGCCAATGCACGAATACCCCCGCCCAAGCCACATAGCGTTACCGCGACTGCCACGACGACTTGACCTTTCGAGATGAATGAATGCTGCCGGTGAATACGGCGCAGCTGCTCGTGGCGTGCGTCATGCCTAAACATACTAGCTGATGATGACGTCAAGGATGAGACATCCTTACGCGTACATGACATTTTTATATTTAGAATACACACGAAAGACTGTATTTGGAAACCATCTTATGCATCGGAATTTGCTCATTTTCTATAGGAGGCGGGTTGTGTCACGCGCTTTACTGGATACTGTACCGCGGCTGGGGAGAATAAAGAAAGCCCTGACTGGAACAACGGAACGCCACATTGACCGTTCCAGGCCGGAACGGATGGGACCGATGTGGGAGGAAAAGAGCTGAGCGAGCTGTGAAGGAACGTACGGAACCAAACCAAGTCTGGCTGAATCGGGAAACTGGAAAAGGTAGTTTAAGTTAGAAGCCTCAGACCACATCAGACTGGGCCATACCGCACACGATATGATATCATACTGGCGGGATTATGTTAATGGACCTAATAGCTAGCTTGATTTCGATCTGTTTCACACAGGTTATGACCAGCTGGAGCTTTTTGTTGCCTTTAAGTTAGTATGCATATAAGTTTGATTTTATTTAGTGCAATCCGGTCTTTCAGGACTCGGGTCCGCTATACGGTCCACTGCAGTCTATTTTAAGCCTAGTGCGACCTGATATTCGCTCAATTTTCGTTCGATCCAGTTCGATCTGTATCGGTCACATCCGATACGAGCCAATCAAGTCGAATTCATTCTAGCCAAGAAGGCAATTTAGACCGGTCCGATACGGAGACCAAACTCTCCCTGACTTTTTTATTTGCAGGTCTGACCAGGTATGTCCGTGAAGTATTCTGTTACGGTCCGGTCGCACTTTCCATGTCATTTTCGGCTCTAACTCCATTTGGTCAGTGCTGCAGCCTCCGTTTTACTATCTGGTAAACGTTTCTCCCAGCCTCGGTGCCCATCCGACCACAATAAGTCCGGCAACTTTCTCATTCCTTGGCATCCGTGACATCCGCTTTACACCTGAGACAACTCATTACTTGAAAATGTAGAAACTTGGAGAAGTGGTACTTTTCCAAGCTGATTGGAACTAAACTTAACAGAAAATCGATCGATCTTACTTTGATTGGCAGCCCAGTGGCGTCATCACGATCATTTAATAAAGGTGAAGAAACGCGTCATTTAAAGTGACGTCATCATCAGCTGACAGGTTTGCGCACGAGTAACGCCGCGTACTGGAGGTTGACATCATTCTCAACTGGGAAGGCGCGCGGGGCGGGGGGCGGGGGCGAGTGGAGGTGACGTTTAATGTATATGGGGGGACCTGCGATGAAACTGGCATCGTTTTCTAAAACAGCGCCACAAAGTTATCGTTACTTACATTTTCCAAGAAAATCGGTCAATTGTCACAGAAGAACATGGTTGCTAATATCTGACTTAAAGTTGCTTGGGAAACATTTACATGAAACTTCATGTCCATCGCTCAAAACCAATCTCTAGACGCAATGCTTGGCTCATCTTTCTGAGGTATTTCGGCATGCCTTGGACAATATGCTCTTCACCTATGCTGAGCTAGTGTGGAAAGGCAGAACTTGAGTGGTGTCTTACTTGAAACTTTTTTAATGCTACAACTACTCTGAAGTTCTAGGATGTGACTATCAGACCTCCTTGGTTTGGGTTTAGGTTTTGTCCTCTAATTGTCACCATCTCATGTCCAGAATTTTTAGATAGATCACCCAAAAAGAGTTGAGGTATGACATATACCTAAAAGATCTTGGGATAATGATGCTCCAGGCTATCACCTTGATAGTTCATGGATATTGGCACTGATGATGTGAATTATGGTTAGTACTATGGAACCAACATGGAGAGTTCCAGGCTTTGAACAACAGCCACATCATTCATGCACTGGTATTTTTTTGCAGGACAAGACAAGTGACATGCACTAACATGAATCCAGACCAAGAGGAAGAAGATCATCCAGTTTTCAGAAATGATCCACTTGAGTTAAAGCAGACACTGTATACATGTGTGGCTCTGTCATGTTCAGACGGCTCCACCCACAATGGCCGAGTGATTGCAGTTGACCCTGTGTCAGAGAGGTATGTTGCTTCTTGCCAACCCAATGTGTGACCTCACTATGCCACTATGCATTAATTTTGACAATTTGTGTACAGTGGAAACAGTTCTGTAGTCCTGTGATGGCTTAGGCCATTGACTGGGATAAATTTTCTGAATTTCACCTTGTTGTCATTTCTGCTATCCCATTCAGGGAATAGCCATGCTGTACTTTTTTGGGCTCCAAATCATGTTGGGGATGTGAACAAGTGTGTGATGACATGCCAGGTGTAAATGAGGCAGTGTGCATTGATTGGCATTCCTGAAAACTGCCTTCACTTGTGAAACTGATCGACTTAAGTTCTGCATACCACATGTGTTGGTTTTGTACACCACACTGGTCCATCCTGCACACCATGTGGGTTGCAGTGACCGAAAGGCCGCCTCATTGGCCCACGCCAGTGGCTGTCACACATTAGTTGGATGGCCTATGTGAGGCATGGGCTCAAAATTCACCGACCTACGGCCTACCCATAACTTCGTCAGATCTTTGCACGGGTAGTTCTATGGCTGGTGTGGTTAAGTACACGGCCAGTCGGGCTGGAGGGTTGGCGCCAGGTGAGCTGGGGGTGATTGCCGCTATTTTACGGCAAATTTTGTGAAATGAAAGTCTCCTGAGCTGTCCACCTCCTGGTCGGCAGGCAGTTTGCCGCAAGTTGAGATTACAACGTGACGACGGAAATCTGCGCTCGCTTTGCATCCACTCTTTCCGATGTGTTCCAGTCGCATTTTAGTGAGCGACGTGCACTCCGCGGCTCCAGTGGTAGAGGTGGTGTTCGGCTACAGCGTGAGCTCCTCTCGCACCACCGACACCGAGTGCGGCGACCCCACGCGCCAGGCCGTTGACTCACTGCTCCGGCGCCAGAGGGTACGACGCTGGCCGGCGCCAGCGACGCTGTGTCGGCGATTCAGGGCGACCAGCGCTACTTATTTGGAATGTTCTGTGTGTGGGCATAAGCAGCTGGGAGAGGTGCGCTGTTCAGATGTGGCTCCGTCATATGTTGCGGCGCCACGTTGGTCCGCTTGTGACCAGCTGCAAGGCTGAGTTAACAATTTTCGCCGATAGATGGCAGCGCATGTCACGCGCGTGTTGCCGCCGTTCATCCGGAAACGATTACGTGACGGACCACATGTGGTAGGCCCTTTGGCCCACGTGTTTGAGCACCCATTGCTGCAAATGTTGACGGCCTGCTGTCAGTTGGTTGAGGCCGGTGGGTGCGTCCGATGTTTGTCTGTCTGCCTGTCTCAGCGGGTCACTCCGCGCCATCTCGTCACACGTTGGCCCGCCTCCGACAGACGGAGCCCGCCCTCTCGCCGGCCGAGCTGCTGGCCCGACGCGACCACGTGGTCTCCTGGCTGCGGCGCCACCGGCTGCCGGTGGAGGTGGGCGAGGGTCACGTGACCGTGGCCGGGGTCGCCACCGTGCGCGCGCCCTACACTGCCGAACAGTGCGTGTGCGCCAACGAGCTGGTGCTGCAGCGGCTGGACGCGCTGCTGAAGAGCATGCCGCCGCTGGAGGGCACGGCGGCCGGCGGGGATGGCTGAGACCAGGATGTGCCGGTCGTTGGGGACGTCAGGCTCTTGTGATAGTGGGCAGATGCTGCGCTCTGATGGTTCCGCTGTGGTTATTGTCAGTGTGTGCGGCGATGTTGTGCCATTTGAAGGAAGTGCGCGGTGATGACTCCCGGATCGCAGAACATTGACCGTTAGCGGAGCCTAAGAATATGACACCGTGGCATGCGGCTTTGTTCGTCCGCTATTATTTTAATCGTCTTGTACGGAGTGCCGGGTGCAGCTGCTGCATATTGTAAGTATTTATTTTGAAAACCGAAGGATCATTGCTTGAAGCAGACACATGGAACATAACTGAAGCAGCACCACCTCACGGATTTTGTCACTTGTGCTACATAAATACTTTTCGAATGTCCAGCGTTTTCCACTGTCGCACGCCTTCCAACGGTTCAGCCCGGTGCCCAGCTCGTGCGCTTTTGTACACAAGTGACACGCCAGTCCGGGCTGTCGGGCTCCCCGAGCACGCGGGCGACCCGCACATCCGCCGCACGGCTCGTCCAGTCGGCGGGCACCGTGTATCACGAAGACACTCACGCGCGCGCACACAGATACATACAGGCACACAGGCACACTAACGCCGCGGGCGTCCGCAAGTGCCCGGGTCTGGGTCTGTCCCTCCGCCGCCAGCGCGCCGGGTCTGTCCTCTACGCCGCCAGCGCGCCGGGTCTGTCTCCGCCGCCAGCGCGCCAGGTCTCCTCTCCGCCGCAGCGCGCCGGGCCTGTCATCTACGCCGTCAGCGCGCCGGGTCTGTCTTCTCCGCCGCCAGCGCGCTGGGTCTGTCTTCTCCGCTGCCAGCGCGCCGGGTCTGTCTCCACCTCCAGTGCGCCTCGCCACAGAGCCCGGCCGGCGCGGCGCCGGCTTCCGTCGGCGGCCGACGGTCGACGGGGCGGCTCCAGCGTCTGCTGGTGAGCCCGGACGGTGCCGGGCGGGCGGCTCTCGTCTCACTGGCGGCAGGCACGCGTGTCGGGTCCGACGCTGTGCGCCTCGTGGTGAACGCGGCCGCGGGCGGCGCGAGGCGGCCGCTGCGCACATCGAGTAGCTGCAAGCGTCGCGCTTGAGGTTCGGTTCAGATAGGTCGTGTCCTGCTGGCGCGCGGTCCTCTCCGGGGGCGGGCCCGACTGGCCGGTTCCCGCGGGGACTAGTCGGCTCTGGCTCTGGAGACTCGAGGTCTTCAGTCCGCCGCAGCCAGCCAGGAGGACCCGAAAAAGCCGAGGCCCATTCTGCTGCCGCGAATTTGCGCAATCATTCTGGCGTGCGCGAGCAAAGTGAAAAACATAACCTGCAAAGGAGATGGCGATCAACCGCGTTGGTCGTGCGACGGGTTGTTCAATTAATCACCGGTGGCCTGTAAACTCTGTGGTGGAGTCCCCAAAGCGTGGAGTCATCGTCTACAAAACTAACTGTATGGCCGAAAGTGATATGTCAAAGTCATTTGGGTGTTGGGTCGGCCCAACTGGCGGGTACCCGCAAAATCTTGCACGAGCCGACGTCAGAAAGAAATGCACACAGCTGAGAAGACAATTAAAAAGCTGTTAGATGCCTGCTATTCACAAATATTTTGAATGGCACACTCAATGCACGCAATCATCCAAGACATGTCAGAAGAAACTGCATACAACCTGGATAACAAGCACGGTGCCTTCCCCTGGCCAGTCTGGACCCGGCCGCGCCGCGGTACGCACCTAAAACAGTGACCTCGCCGGCTCACAAGACGACCAACAGGGCGCAGAGGGCCGCCAGCGACGAGAGCAGGCCGCCGCGGAGCGTGCTGGCGCCGTTCGGGTCCTTGGAGCCGAGCGCCTCTGCAACAGGCCGGGCGGCGAGGTCAGACAGCGCCGCCTGGCGGCCGCGGCACGCCCCTCCCACGCGGGGAGCGGCCGGCGCGCGAACGGACGTCGATCGAGGCTGCCGCTGAGGGTTTGTCGGACGTCTAGGCCGCATATCCCAATGGCAAAGTGCCTGCCCGAGGTGCTATGCATGATGTCACAAGTGCCTTCGTCACATACAGGCGACTGCCATCCAAGCTGCAGGAACTGTTGCGAAGCACTTACCTATGACGTTAAAGGTTGCAACTTGTGGACGGTGTTACTTAAGTAGTTGGGAATGCGGTACTGGTCCGCGTTCACCAAGGGCGGATCCAAACGAAGGGTAATGAGCACTGGCCCCCTCATGCCGGTGGGAACGAAGAAATTTGCGCTCATTTGCGCGATTTTCATATGGGTAACACAAAATGTGGCATTCGCCGCGCTCCGGTGCTGGATACACCGCTCCTGTCTGGCGTCCGGAGCATGACGCTGAGGAACTCGGAGCATCGGTTCGACATTCTGGAGCCAGATGGTCTGGTCCTCTGTGACGAGGGGATCTCTCGACCTTGTAACGCGAAAATAATAAAACGGTGCGGCCTGCTGCACCTTGCGGGTCCTCACAGCACACGACAGCACAGCACACCCCGAGCCACCGAGAACCGGTACCACCAGCTCCCATGCAGGCAACGTGACGTCACTGAACCCGTGGTCTGGACATGCTTGTCAATGTGAGGGCACACGGCCATGTAAACCCTCAGATCTTAGAGAGATCCGTTTAGGAGTGATAAAAGCATCCGCGATGATCGCGGGACACCGGCTCCGAAGCGGCCTTGAACCGGCAGGCAGGGAACAGGGGCAACAGACGCTCGACCAAACCGGGTAATCTGCCATCCTGTCAGGCAGCTATCGAGGTTTAAAGCGGGGCTAGGATGTCCTCGAATTGCGCGGCGGGTGGCAGGATGGCTGGGTCACCAATAAGATGCGCGATTACGACGGTTTAACCTGAGGAGTTAGCACTCGCGATAAAATGTGACGACACATGTAGGTTAGTTAGCGTACTCATGCAACCTTAATCTAGACACGCATTGTCAGAACAGAAAAATACGTGTTAAGTGCGGTGGAAAATTACCCCAAACTCCGCCGATTTCCCCAACTGACCAGACATTTCACACGCTCTGACAGCCGTTCCAGCTCCGCTCCAGCCCGCTCTAACCTTGTTCTAGCGCTATTTTAGCCCCCGTTGTAGCCCCGTCATAGCCCGTCCTAGCCGTATCATGTATAGCAGCATCGAAGTTTATAGCAACACTTGAACGTCGAAGTTCAGCACCGTAAGCTCTTGCGAAGTCCGCAACCAGCGCATCTGAAAGCCGATGTCCCATGACAAGCTCCAGAGACGTCGCCTCGACCGTTCCGCTAGTAGCTGGCCGGGATCACCACGGCTTCTGTGTCGTACGTCAGCACGTCCAGCAGGTCCGGCGTACCCACCCCTCTGCGTAGGCCCCCGGAGCCCGAGCGAAGCTGCACGCACACGCACCCGCTCCAGCCGCATGCAACGCCGGCCAGGCCTTACCTCCTCCCGTCAGGTCTGCCGCAGGACCGTCTGAAACGCCGTGAGCGTGCCAGTCACGTGCGTTCTGACGGAGCGACGCGGTACGACGACAGCCAGCGGACAGCGGGTGCATCCCGGGTGAAGGGAGGTGATCGGATGCGAGAGGACAAAGTGCTTTGTTCAACGGCGCCCGCGTAGGCGCGGGAACGGTGATGAGAGGGATGGGGCATGTGTGTCGTAGCACCCCCAGTGTTCGATAACGCATGAATACTGAACATGAGCCCTAAGGCGACGCTTGAAAAGAATCTATTTCGAAGTCGGGTTTGGTGCCTCCACTTTTTGGGACGTTCCTCCACCTATCGTTGCTTTAGTCCAGCCTTCACGCTTCGTTTTTCACACGCGCGTAAGAAACTTTGCCGGCTGCTAATGCTGCGCGGGTTTACCCGGATTTCGTCTCACCAATGTGAGACGTCAATATGGTCTGTATGGGCCATATCTCAGCTCACAGCGAGGTAGCTGAAGGCACCGCATCGTACGGCAGTTTAGCTCAGTCCGAAACGGTAGTGTCATTAGTATCGCGCTCTGAAATACCGAATGAGAGTGTGGTTGAGTCAATGTGTTTGTGATATATGCAAATTCAGAAAAAAGGTGTGAGATAGTGACAATGTTTTAATTAACTAACTAGACTAGTGCGATGAGTCAGAAGCATTAACTAGGTGCTTTGCATCCATGCATCATCTCGGTTTGGTTGCGCAAAAAGAGAAACCACCTGTAGACGAACTAGTTAGAAATGAAAACCTGCAAGATGGCATGGATGGCCCAGTAAGACACAAGACAGGCCTGCGAGTGCCTATGGCTGCTGTTGTCCGCGCGGCCCCATCAGTGCTTTCGTCGATGACCCAGGGGAACTCGCGTGCGGGCGTCCCTTGGGACTGAGAAACCACCTCAAAGTGAAACCCTATGTATGACCGTTCATGTCTGACCAAATTAGCTTTACTTGCTGACTGCTGGCACGGTGTATAATCAAGGCAGCATAAGGTCATAGTGGTCGTTCGTAAGCAAAAGAGTGCATACGAAACAACACTGCTCTGCTCACCTAACATTTACATTCCACCTTGCAGCGCAGGGTGAGGTCGCAGCTGGCTGGCAACTGCAAAACTACCGGGGACAACCAGCCAATCCGCTGGCTCCGACCGCGTCTCACAACTGAGAACTGCACCGCTCTGAGCGGCGGCGGCAGCAGCGCCAGCCATCTCCGACCCACCCCGCTGGCATGCGGTCAGCACCGGCGGGCGCCGGGCTCCTGCGTGACGTCACGATCCCGTGTGCAACTCACGTGCTCCGAGTGTGGAGAACCGGAACGGCTCGGTGGGCTCGCGGCTCCAGCCGTACTTGTTGCGCGCCGTCACGACTCCTTCGTACACGCTGGCGGGCTGCAGGTCGCGCAGCGCGTAGGTGTACTTGTATAGGACGCTGTTAGCGCCATCTGTCCGCGGCGCAGCAACTATTACTTGCTCCCACTGCTGCTGCACTTCGGGGTTGGTTCCGTTCACCTGGAATGATTAAGCATGCGCGTTGTCGGAGCGGTTTGCCTCCACAGTTTCGTCGGCGTTACAATATCGTTAGTCATGCCGCTCATCCAGCGGCATGGATATCATTTATGAACGAGGTCAGATGGGCTGGGGCCACTCATTAATTAGGAGAACGGTGTAAATCGAAATCATGCCATGGTTGATCACCAGTGAGATAATGCCGTCGAAGCCAATATGGAAAGCCGTTTTGGGACTTTGGATGTCATGAGTCCGCACATTGTGAGTTTTAAGACAGGCTCGCTTTGTCTTGTCGCTGATTTTGTTTCCGAATAGAAAGGCATGAAGACATATCTATTGCAAACTAGAAATCTGTGATCAATAATACGAAATTCAAAGTCGCTGAAAACGTAGTGCAATCATTCGGTTTTGCCATCAGATATCGGCATGCTTTCTGTGTTGCCGCACAAACAAACTTGGAGAACGGCACCCGGTGGGGCATGTCGATCGATTACCTTGGCATGAGCCTCTGCATCATACATCTCCCTAACATTATCCCACACAACAACCGGGCTTTTCAAACGAGCTCGCCAAATAACTGCTCGCCAAATAAAACGGACTCGACCAGGCTTCAAAGCATTTCATAGCATTCAGTCGCGTACACGGGTGACTAACGAAAATCACACACGATCATTTCATGTAACTTACCAGCATTGGCCCGGTCTTTATTCCGCTGTGACGGACTTCCCGAGGGCCAGCGGAACAATGTGAGGCCCGCGGCCCTCTGTGAAGTACAGTGACCAACGACCCTCGCAGTCCATGACCCGTGACCTCTCCGGTGCGGAAGCGCGCGCCGGCTGTGTGCCGCCGGCCCGCGCAGCCGACGTCGGTCGCTGCTCGTGCTCTCGTGCGGTCCAGAGTTGCCTGGCGGCGCTGGCCGGCACCCCTCGCTGGGGGGGCCATTACCCCAGCGGCCAAAGAGCTGTCCGTGGCCCACAAAGTGCCGACTTCCCGTCGGCGGTAGCCCATTTGGCCGACTGTGACAAACAAGACGCCGCCGCCGCCGCCCAGGCCCGGGGCGGCAGCCGGAAGCGGCCGCCGCCGGCCCGGTGGCGCCCCCGGCCGGCCGACCGGGTCGCACCGGCGCGCGGCTGCGTCCGCCGTGCGCACACCCCGTCATTACGCCGCTATAATTTAATTGGCCGGTGGCCGGCCGGCGCGTCCGGCGGTGTCCGGTAATCAGAGCGACGCAGCCGCTTGTCCAAACAGCGCCTCACGCTGATGGATCAGCGCCGCCGACACGTGAGACGCGTGTCCAGCGGCGCGTCCGCGGACGCGAGGAGCCCGGGCGGCGACGGCCGAGAGCCGGCGGTCGTCGCGCTCCTCCCGGTGGCCCGCGCCGCCCAGCCGCGCGCGGCCGCTGACGACTCACAGCTGGGGATGTGGAGCGGCGTGCCGTGTAGCTATCCCCTGGAGTCTAGTGAACTGCCTGAGACAGGTCAGCTATCCCCTGGGGTCTAGTGAACTGCCGAGACAGAGCAGCACACGGCTGGCCGCTGAGTACGGGATTGCTGATATCACACCGCACATGACAATGTTAGACTGCGTGTCTTATAGAGGCGAGTCAAGTCTACCACTTCAGTAAACCGCTCGCTTCGCGTTATGATATCGGATTTCTTGACATTCCGGTATCCGCCATTCATTGTCCAACCCAGGTGCCTTTTCGGATTACCATCTGAGTATCATCGGAACCCGGAAGACGATCCTGAATTATGTGGCTCATGGAATGCAAATACAAACCTAATCTTCTTACGTCAATCAAAGCGGACGGCAGAATAGAATACTTCCAAACGCAAGCGGCATTATAACGGTAAAGGAATTTCTACTTTAATACCGAATCCCTCTTTTTCTTTGAGCATAATCTCCACAGCATTCAGGGTAAGTTTTTATTCGCTGTTCTGCTCTCCTAAGTATCATACTAGAAATGTAGAACAGACCTCCGGTTGTACGGTCTCCCTCCTGTGCTTGACCAGCCGTACTCGCTCCTCGCTGTTTCCGACAGCTGTACAATTTCTACGTTCTGCGCACCTGCGGTTTCTTTAAGGCTGGTGTTACCCAATCTGATCATTTTCCGTTAGACCGGCGTCAAGTTATACGACCCTCCGGCAATTTGGTTGAAACGACCCCGCTCCCCCCGTGATTATGCTAACAGTTCTGGTGCCGTCGGTAATGCGACATTGCACAATGCGCATCGCCCCTAGTCACGCTGACGACGCACAATTACGCGCTGGCCGGGGCGCGCGCCCAAATTTAATCCCGCCGGCGAGTCGCCCCCTGCCCGCCAGATGGCGTGTTTGCGCGCGCCCATCGCGGCACTGGGGGAGTGAGGTGACACTTCTGGGTCAGGGAATCAGCCCGCCCGTGCGGCCGACGGTCTGGTCCGTGATCGATTCGAGAACCTTTCGGCCCGCACGACAATGCGTGGCGAACGACCGATCGCGCCGTGCTGCGAATCGAGCGTGACTCCCGGCAGGCTTTGACGCAACCTTTGACCGGACCGGGGCACGCGGGGGTTGACCCCCGCGGCCGCCTGTGACCCACTCCCCGGCCCCTCCCCCCAACGGTCCACACGGCTGGCCAGACTCCGTCACGCGCAGCACCCTCCCGCCGGGACACGTCAGTCAAATCGCCCGCCTTTGCTGTGGAGTGGACCGACGCTTGCATGATGACAGGTCAAAGGGACACGTGGCCGACCCGCCCGCGCACTGACACAGTGACGTTGTATTGGCGAATCCGCACGCTTCAGAACTGATTTGCCGTCACGGGCTCATACGTGACCCTCATGATTCTGCGCAGAGCGTGATGTTGCCGCGTTCTGCGGCATGACCAGGCGATCAATCGCGTTTACCAAGCGGGATTGTTCCTACAAGAGAATCTGGATCTGCAACATACATTGCTCTTAACAGCACGCCGCGGTTTCCAGAGGTTCAGGATTGATAAAGGCCACTGATGCTTGACGTCACTAGCATAAATGCTCGTCTCTTGACCGTGTTTGCAAGTTGAATACCAGGACACAGCGGGAACATTTACCTGCGTGTTCTTATATATGACTTTGTATTCTTTCACAGGTGAGTAGCTTTCTACACTCCAGTTGAGGGTGAACGAGTTTTTCTCCTGGCCGTTTGGGTCCGAAGAAACCACCACCGGCGTCGGCTTTCCTGGAACGCACATGACATCGTCATCATTGGGGCTTTGCAACGCACTCATATGCCGAGGGTGTATAGCGTCACCTGTCTCTCGCCCTAGCAGGAAGGGTGGGCACCGCGGGGAGCCGAACCCCGTGCCTCTGGTTTCCCAGACGTGCATCAGACGTTACATCAACCTCAGAGATCGGGGCAAGCAAAACACGTGCCGCCCAGCGTCGGTTCATGCAGTGAATGTGAATCGCTTAAAATTTTATCTTTCATGACAAAACAAAGGCTTTACTCCTGCTTTAACGATTCAAAAACGACACAAGGAACGTCGCTTTGTGATCACTTCCAGCTGTGCCTCTTCGCTCACTGGGACGTGATGCAGGCGTGCTTCATAACCCGTGCCGACACACATCAGTGAAGCCAGCCTGTCTCCCGCACTATACATACCGGGAACCCAACCTGCCCCTGTCCCTGCCCCCGGAATACATCAACGACCCGGCCTGACACTGTCCTCTATATTTCAGTCATGCCACCCTGCCCCGTCCTGCACCCCCCGGGGCCAACAGCCTGCGGGCCCGCCGGAGACGGCAGCCTGCCCCTGCCCGGTGCCCACCGGAGACGGCAGCCTGCCCCTGCCCGGTACCAACCGGAAACGGCAGCCTGTCCCTGCCCTGTACCAACCGGAGACAGCGGCCTGCCCCTGCCCTGTACCAACCGGAGACGGCAGCCTGACCCTCCCCGGTGCCCACCAGAGACAGCGGCCTGCCCCTGCCCTGTACCAACCGGAGACGGCAGCCTGCCCCTGCCCTGTACCAACCGGAGACGACAGCCTGCCCCTGTCCTGTACCAACCGGAGACGGCGGCCTGCCCCTGCCCGGTACCAACCGGAGACGGCAGCCTGCCCCTGCCCGGTACCAACCGGAGACGGCGGCCTGCCCCTGCCCGGTGCCCACCAGAGACGGCAGCCTGCCCCTGCCCTGTACCAACCGGAGACGACAGCCTGCCCCTGCCCGGTGCCCACCAGGGACGGCGGCCTGCCCATGCCCAGTACCCACCGGAAATGGCAGCCTGCCCCTGCCCTGTACCAACCGGAGACGGCAGCCTGCCCCTGCCCTGTACCAACCGGAGACGGCAGCCTGCCCCTGCCCGGTGTCCACCAGAGACGGCGGCCGGCCCCTGCCCTGTACCAACCGGAGACGGCAGCCTGACCCTGCCCGGTCTCCACCAGAGACGGCGGCCTGCCCCTGCCCAGTACCCATCGGAGAGGGCAGCCTGCCCCTGCCCGCTACCCACCTGTAACCTCGATGGCGGCCGCGGCTGTGCCCAGGCTGCTCTCGGCCCGGCAGCTGTACAGCCCCATGTCGCTGTCCATCACCTTGTCGATGTTGATGTAGTAGTCGTCGCCCTCGTGACGCTCCACGTGGTGCTGGTCATCGAGCGTGGCGCCGCCGGTCCGGCTCCAGCGGACCTGCCGGGCGAGAGGCCAGGTCAGGTGCCGGGCGAGGTCAGGTCACATACCGGGCGCGAGGTCAGGTCACATACCGATCGCGAGGTCAGGTCAGATGCCGGGCAGGTGGTCAAGTCAGATACCGGACGCGAGGTCACGTCAGATACCGGGCGGGTGGTCAGGTCGGATACCGGGCGCGAGGCCAGGTCAGGTGCCGGGCGAGGTCAGGTCACATACCGGGCGAGAGGTCAGCTCAGATACCGGGCGCGAGGTCAGGTCAGATGCCGGGCGCGAGGTCAGATCAGGTCAGACGCCGCGCAAGGGCGAAGCACGGGCGATGGGCATACACCGGAGAGGAGTTTCGTGGCTGGGGCATTGCGACGGAGCTGAAACATTAGAAAGTGGTAGAGGACATGTTCTGTCGGCCCATGGGGTGATAGAGGAACGTCCAGTCGGCCCATGTCGCCGCGCTGTGGATCGCGCAGTGCGAAGGAGAAGAGGCTTCCTGGGATCATGTGGAGGTACGAGCAGGGCTCGTGGCGCTTTGCCAGCAGCCTCGGCCCGGCGAGTTACGAACTACATAGATGCACCTCACGTAGACTCCCGGGAGCACCACTCAAGTCGCAAGGACCGCGAGAAAACCGATGGCGCTGGCCTTCAAACCTCACGGCTATCGCAGGTCGCGCGACTCGACTCCCACCTTCCACGGAACAAGTTCAAGGCAGTCAGTTAACTCGCGCCAGCATCCTGCAGCGACGGCGTCTCTCATTTCCGCGCGGTTCACTCCCGCGCCGCGCACCTTATCCGCATTCGCAGCGGCGACGCCACACTGCTCTCACCCCTGCCCCACGCCCCCACGCCATAAATTTGACCGGCGGGCGCGGGCGGGCGTCTGCCGGCCGGTGCCGGAGGCGACGAAACCACGCCGTGGCCGGCGTAAAAACGACCGCCGCGTCACACGCAGACGAAACAAAAGCCCACCCCGAAACCGTGGATCAGAAATGGCGCGCCGCCGAAAAAGCGCGCCATCTGTCCGTCTTGCCGGACGGGCGCGGCGGCAAAAACTGTGGCCAGTGTGGCGCGCTACACGACCGCGAGACGAGCGGTGGCGCACCGCGGCCGGAGTTGCGCGCCGTTTTTGCCGCGGGCGGTGCCCCGTCACCTAGAGCGTGCGCCGTCCGCTGCCGAATTCCTGCTAATTGGCCGGAGGTAAAAATAATGCCGCGGACCTCGGCGAATCGTGCCAAACACAATCAGCGGGCTGGTTTGTCCTGCGCCGCGGCCCCTGCAAGCATTGGATTACCAGAGTCAAACTGACGGTAGCCGCATATTTTTAGCTGTACCACGACATCGTGCAAATGACACGCGCATTGGGCAGGCAACGAATACTGCAAACGGCACGTGTCAAGAGGTCGGAAAACTGGAAGCTTTGTGTTCAGCTCTGTACGTCCCGAATTAAAGCTGTCAAAGTCACGGAAAAGTTGTGTCTGGGGCTCAAGTCTAAGGTCCATGTCAGAAACACCATCCACGTCGGACTTATAGGTACCCAAATTCTGTGCGGGAGTTTTCATTTTGAACTAAGGCATGATGGTAGATACGCATGTTTTCACACAAGGAGAATAAGCATTGATCATAGCCATAGAAAACGCGTCCGGGCTCAAGAACATTTGAAACCGGATCTCAAGCGTAATTCTCCGGTGTCGAGGCGTCTAGCCCTGCACTTCGTGCCAATCCTCGTGCCAATCCCCGTGCCAATCCCCGTGCCAATCCTCGTACTAATCCCCGTGCCAATCCCCGTGCCAATCCTCGTGCCAATATGTGCGAGCAGGGTCAGACCCAGCACCGGATCCTGGACAGCAAGCTCTGGGCATGGGTAGTTCGCAAAACACAGGCAAAATTGATGAAGGTTTTGGTCTAGTTCGCCGCCTTGAACGCCCATGACCCTTTCACTCTACTTGGAGCCTCCAGCGTGCTGTGCGAGCTATCGCAGACTTTTCAGACGTGAAGGGTTTCAACCCCGTCATTCTGGACCACAATCGCCCTTAACTGGCGCTGATGAGTGTGACAGCCTAAAATGCCGGCAAGTCGGAGGCGTATGACCTCAGCGTCTCTGAGTCACGCCGCTCAAACGCACCCCACACAGCTGACCGCATAAAAACTACCTCTGGCAATCATCATGGCCTCCTGTCAGCTGGGTCATCAGTCATGCATGAAGCGGGCCCTTGGCGTCGCGGGAGGCGCCGCAGCCGCCCTTTCCCCGCCGTCGGCTTTCCTGCCCGGCGCGCGGACCACGGAGACCTTCTGTCGGCCGGTACGGGCCGTTCCAGTGTCGCGCGGCAGCATCACGGGCCGGTCCAGTGTCACGCAGCAGCGTCATCGGTCCGTTCCAGTGTCGCGCAGCAGCGCCAGAGGGCCGTTCCAGTGTGCGCAGCAGCGTCATCGGACCGTTCCAGTGTCGCACAGCAGCGTCATCGAGGAAGTCATTGACGAGAGCTCGGCGGAGGACGTCGTCGCTCACCGGACAATCCCGCAGGCTCGGACGGTCGGCGCTGTTTCCAAGCCAGGTCCCGGTACAGTGGAATCAGCCAATCATAATGATGACTGGACTGAACGGCTGCAGACAAGACTGTTGTTCCCAGCAACAGCCAGTTTGATGTGTTGATTCTCGGGCTATGGAGTGAGCGCGCCGCCCCTGCCTGACAACCTATTGGTTCTGTTTTGACTAAAACAACAAACAGACCCTGTCTGCTCCTCACATCATCTCTTGCTCAACATGTTTCATCTCCCCGTACCGGGTTATATAGCTGCTGACCTGCTGTCTGCGTGCTCGTGACGACCGCCGGCACGGCTCTGCGTGTCCGGCTCGCTGGAGGCTAGCCCATGGCGTGCCTGCATGCAAGGCCAGGCCCCGCCGGCTACTGTGATGTGCGGCGCCTGTTGCCAGTGCCCCCCCCCCCCCCAGTCCTCCCGGAGCCGCTGGCAGCTAGCGCGAGTGCTCAGGCCACGGTTCCTAGATCCCCTAGAGCCAAACTAGGGCCCCTAGTCACGTTCGGCAGGACCTCGCTGCTCCCCCTCTGCTGCGGCGTTGTGGTCAGGCCACTTAGTCGCTGGCTCGGCGGCGGATCCGCCGGAGGTCCGCGCTGTCGGCCTGGTGCCTCTGTGATCTGAGGTGCCTGTGGTCTCTGAGGGGACCGCAGTCTGCCGTGCCCGTGGTCTCAGGCGTCCGAGATCTGAGCGGCTCGCGTGTCGCGTGCTGCATCGGGAGACCATCCGCCGCATGACGCACGCCCCAGTGTCGTACGTTCTCAGGGGGCCGACGGCGCGCCACGCCGCAGGCACTAACGCGCGCCGCACACTCCCCTACACCCCGTCCTTCGCCAGCCACAGCGCAGTGCAATGACGCTGCAGTCTGCAGTGTGCAGCCCTCCTGCGCGGCGGTGCAAGTGTCCGGCGCGCGCCCCGGTGGTCCGGCAGCCGCGCCGCGGCGGTCAGCGCGCCGCGTCCGCTGCCACGCCCACTGATTTCGGTGCCGACAATTACCCGGTGATTACCAGCGCACAAAAAGTCGGCCTGTGGCAGATGCGGCCTGGCCGGCCCGTCCGTGCTGGCGGTTTTTACGCGACGGGTGATATGTGTCACGTGTCAGTTCTCATAACGCTCTCCGGACAGGACGAATAGCCACATCACGACGCGTGGACGCCTGAGCCGAGACGCGCAGAGAACTGAGACCGCCCAGAGCAGCCCGTCTGCAGATGACGTCACGGGGGAGGTTGCAGGCAAGCCAGAGCGTACGCGCTGTACTCCGGTGTGCCTGCCGGGGCTTGAGCACTGCGCACCGGTCGACTGGCGACAGTGCGCACGACGTACGCTGGCGAATAGGATGGAGTCAACAGCACAAAGCTGCCAAAGACCTTGATTCCAGTATTATCGGGTTTTTAACGCATTTAGCCGCACTCGGAATTTGCCAAATCGCTCCTACGGCTCACTGCTGCACCCATACCCGACGTGCAGAGGAACAGCCTGTTGCAGGCCTGTTGTCAAAGCTGGTCACCATACCGATGAGCGAAAAACTGGAATGCGTGGGCGAAATAGCATTCGAAAAGTGGTATGTCAACTGAGCTTTTTTGAGATAGTTTTCTACGCATGAGGGGATGGCTAGCATGAATCTTTCGTGAAAAGGAGGTGACCAGACCACGTTGGTTCAAATGTTTATCCACAGTAGCAAACCGATGTCAACATTTACATGTTGTCCTTCAGATGAGTCTCGAACGTAAATAAGGCGCTTTGTCACCCGTGACTGTATCTAAGATCAGCCAGCCGCTGTGGTACTCCGTTACTCAGGATCCCTTCATCACACATCAGCCAAACACACAAGAAGCGGACGCGACAAGGGCACGGGCTCGCGCAGCGGCGTGACGTGGGTGACGAAGGGAGCCAGGCGCCGGGAGGGGCAAGCAAGTGCAGCAGCGGGGCTGTACGCCGCACCGCAGGGATGACAAGGTCTGCCGTAGGGATCGTGACGAGCTCCAGCACACGGAGGGACTCACCTTCGGCAACGGCTGTCCGCGCACTTTGCACATTAGCTGCGCCTCGAAGCCGGCGCCCGTGTGCACCGTGTTGGTCATCAGCTCGATCTCGGGTGCAACTGCAACACAGGCGCATCGACAATGCGGCGGAAGGCGTCGGCGTGCGCCGCTTCGGTTTCCATCTGCACCTCGAGTGCAGCTGCAACAGAATGGCATCTGACCAGCAACAATGTGCGCAATGTTGACCTCCACCCGGGTTGACCTCCATCCTCACATCCGGCGCAGCTGCAATGGAAGAGCATCGGCAGTGTGGGCTGACCTGCATTGTGCCCCGGCCGCTCCGGCGCCGGTGCGCCAAGGACGGCGTGTTGTGACAGTTGTGGCGCGCGCGCGCGGCGGACCGCGGCTGCCAAGCGGCCCGACTCCGGCGGGGAGCGGAGTGGAGGGTTTACGGAGCGAGACGCGAGGGAGGAGTGTCAACTGCGAGATAGCGTCACGTTCCGCGTCTCGCTTGGTTACATCTGCTAGTTCCGAAAAAGCGTGAGTAGGATTAACGCTTCTTCGAATCTTAACCGTTCCAAAAAGCGAAGTTACTTTTATCCATCACGCGGAACAGTACGGTCTGATAGGTCGCGCCAATGTATTATGAACCACACAGCACGCTCCTTAGTTTTCAGCACGCGATGCCTCGCCTCGCCCGTCTGCTGCGACACTGCGCCGATTGCGCGGGACGGCTCGTTGACCGGGACTGATCGGCGGCCGTCACAGGTGCGGAAACACGGACCAACGCTCGACCGCGCAGACAACCTTGGAATGCCTGAATCTCAATGCGTGTCACGTCAGCCGGGCCCAGGGCGCGATGGATTGTTTTCGCGGGTGCCACGTCCAATGACTGCCGCGCGGGGCTCCTCCGCATGCGGCTGCCTCCTCCTGTCGGGCACCCACCCGCTGTCCCCGACACATTACGGATGCAGGGCCGCTCAGCGACAGCCGACCGGACAAAACGCGGCAAACAACGGGGCAAACAATGGCTCAGGCCCGGGGAAACGCGCTCAGCAGCCTTGGCGCAGCACGCTTGTTTGCTTCGAACAAAAGGGATTTGGACTTTTTCAGCAAAAACTTGCATTGGCTAAATTGGTTATGCGTGGCAACCGGATGGCATGTGACAGGCATGGCGAGTTGCCATCTATGCTAATGTACATTTAACATTGCAATCATGCACAAAACATGCAATCATATCAAGTGCGGCGATGCGTAAATGCGAAAGCCGTCGTCTGGTGGAATACGTCCATTACCATTTCCTGACTGCTTTCCAAAAACTATGCATGTCAAGGTCGATTATTTCTTGTTCGGAGAAAGAGAGGGATGGCCTGTCTGTCAGCTGCATCTCTGTGGCTTATTTGATCGCGGCGAACGCCTGACGATGGTCCAAGCCGTCAATATTTGTCGTTAGAAAGTACAGCGAAATATTGATGCGTATCGCTTCGGCGTGCTTAGGGCGAAGTTTCCGAAGAAGAAGAAGAAAAAGGACAAAACACAAATCAGCGTACAAATGATAACGGGCTACAATTTATAAGTTCATGTTAAAAAACAGAAATGTAGCAACGCAGCAATAAAGTTATGCAGTAGATCCGAACATTCTAAGGGCTTCAGCTGACTTTCAAAAGAAACGGCTCATTTTATATCTGCGAATGCGTGCTTAAAACAAAAAGCGAGCATCCTTAAGTTACCCCATCGATTCGTCGACCTCCCTCGCCCTTGTGATTCAAAGCAAACGAAGACCCGCCATCGGACCATCGATGGCCGGCCGTACTCACAGTTAACCTCGAGCCGGAAGTCCTTGACGACGGCCTTGCCGACGCCGTTGTCGACGGTGCAGGTGTAGCTACCCATGTGACTGCGGTCAACGGCGGCGACCTCCAGCGTCTCTCCCTCCAGCTTCTGCTCTCCGTTCGGCAGAACACCACCCTGCACGGGACGGGTACGGGTCAGTGTCAGGGGGCGCAGCCGCGCGTTTTCGTGGCACACCACCCTGCACAGGACGGGCAAGGGTCAGTGTCAGAGGGCGCAGCCGCGCGAGCGTCACGCGGTGTCGTGGCACATAACCCTGCGCGGGACAACCGCGGGTCAGTGTCAGAGGGCGCAGCCGCGCGAGCGCCGCGCGGGTCGGGCGCGGGTCGGTGTCAAAGGGCGCAGCCGTGCGAGCGCCGTGCGGGTCGGGCGCGGGTCGGTGTCAGAGGGCGCAGCCGCGCGAGCGTCACGCGGTGTCGTGGCACGTAACCCTGCGCGGGACGGGGACAGGTCAGACGGCGCGCGCGCTGTTCTCCTGGGCCAAGGAAACTGCCCTGCGCAGCACGGCGACAGCTCGCAAGACCGGTCAACCAAACACTGGTCGCTCATGCCACATACGCCTATATACAGGACGCCTTAGCAACGCCTGTATATGGTTATGCTGCAGATATGAACAGGAGGCTGAGATTGGACGCACATAAGCTACCGTATCTTAAAAAAACGATCAAACTTCAAGCCTTGTGGCCAACCGTTCCTGACAAAGGTCACAGCATGCGTGACAACACCCCCACATCATTAGGATCCTAGATACAACAGAGGATCAACTGCACTATGACACTCTGTGAGCCTCTCTGCTCTGACCGGACAGCCGAGAGCTGCCCTTCCCCCAAGCCGAACCCCTCCGGCTCCCGTCCTCCGCTCCGAAAGTTGCCCTCTTCCGACCCGAACCCCTCCGGCTCCCGAACCCCGCCGCGAGACCTGCCCCCTCTCACGAGCTGAACCTCCCCGGCTTCTATCCCCGCCCCGAGACCTGCCCCCTCCCCCTGTCATGGCTTAATACGGCCGCCGGACGGGCCCACTCTCTCCCCATGACCTGGGGCCGAGCGTGGCATAGCGTTCTGCCACGCCCCTGAGCGGGGCGTGGCAGCCCGGCGGAGGGCGGGGGGGGGGGGGGGGGGAGGCGGCACCGTTGGCGTCTGGAGGCGGGTCGCCATCACAGCCCGGGACCGATCCCCGCTGAGCACCGCCATCCACGATGCATAAGCTGACCGATTTAACCCTGGCACGGTTTACAGCCGCCGTGTCCGGGCCGCCGCGCCATGGCGCCAACACCGGGGCTCTGTTTGAGGTTCGCGCCCACCCTCCCACCGCCCGAGAGATGTGGATAAACCGGAAATGGAGCCAAAGGATTGGCGGTTTCCCCCGTTTGGTCCAGGAGGTCCCCCTCACATGCGTCCGCGCGGTTTGCACCGCGCCGCGCAGGTTCCATTTCAGCGGCAGATGCCACGTTCCTGCCTGTTATCATTCCCGGGATCTCTGCCCGCCGGGCGGCAACGAACAGGATTTATTTTCGCCCGCAGCCAAGCTGCCGCTCTCGCCCCTCCCCACGACAGGCCGCCGTCGCGCGCCGCCTCGCGCCAGCCGAGTCCTTTCCGCGGCCCCGCGACCGCTGACAAATGACCGGCCACGCCGGCCATCCCTTCTGCCGCCGCCGCGACTGCCGGCCACCGACGGTCCGAGTGCCGGCGGCCGCCGCCGATCGACCCGTGGCTGCGCACCTTCCTGGTCCAGGTGATGGTGGCCGGCGGGTTGGCGTCTGCGGTGCAGGAGAGGCGGACCGGCTGGCCCTGGCGGATCACCAGCACGCCCTGGGCCGGGTCGGTCGTCACCACCGGAGCGTCTGAGGGGGGCGGCGACACGGTGTCATGGCGTCACGCTGTCATGGCGACACGCCGTCACACCTCGGCTAACCGCCCGATGGATGGGAAAATAATCGGCACGTAGTTAACGCTGCATTTTACATGATTATGGGAGCTTGTTAATACAGATCGATCACCGGACAATGCAGCGATACGAACACATTGGCAGGCTGAGTGTGGTGTAAAAAAACATAGTTAACAGTTAACAGAAACATACAGCTAAGCATGTGCGCAGGGTTGCTGCTTCGTAAAACTGGCACGCGCTCTGCCCTCGACTGATGAACGCAGCGTAACTCAAAAGACGTTCTCTTTTTATGTTTAGGTGCTGATTTTTCGTTACAAATAATACGCTAGTCCTACGCTGCTGCATTGCAAACGAAACGTATCGAGGATCGCTCCTGGTACCCATACCTAAAGCGGTGCTTCAAACCTTATGCAATCTTTTAAAACGGGATGGAACCAAACCGCAAAGAACAAGCAAAATCCTTTCCCTTCAGTCTCCATGACACCCAGGCCCAAAAGAAGAAGTCACGTGCTCAGGCTAACACACTTCACCACTCAGGTCAGGTGAATAAGCCCCCTACTTTGGCGAACCAGCGTCGCATCCGTGCGGAGCATCATAACGCCGTTGAGAGCGGTACATCACATTGACATAACGAATACACCATACAACGCTCGGCGCCGCTGGATGAAAGCGCGCCACAAACAGTCCCACGCGCCACCGGGACGTAGCTGCAGCTCTGCTGACGGTTCTGATGCCCTAACAGCACGGGGTGTCTGCGAAGCTGTGCAACGGCACAAGTGCCTCTGTTATCGCAATGGCGGTTTGCCTTTGATGTCACTGTGATATGGTGCCTGGTGATGTAGAGCCGCATTGTCCCTGATGCCACCATGGTACGGTGTCACCTACTCGGACGATGACACAGCGCCCCTGTAGCTTAATGGGATAATGCAGTGTGGCTTTTACCGCATGCAAGGAGTCATTAGGCAGGCACGAAATATGGCTCGGAAAGTTTCATGTCACGCTGATGAGGAGTTATCACTGACAGGGCTCTTGATGCCAGGATATTTATCACAATGTGTGTGTGTATGTGGGGGACACACTAAGGGATCTCCATACAAAAAAGAGTGGAGTGGTGAGGAGTGTGTGGATGCACGAAGCCTTTGATTGGAGGCGAACATTGTGGTACGACCAAACAATGTATGTGTGTGTGGGGGGGGGGGGGGGCGCAACACACTAAGGGATCTCCATATAAGAAAGAGCGGAGTGGAGAGGAGTGTGTGGGTCCATGAAGCCTTTGATGGAGGCGAGCCTTATGGTGCAACCAAACATCTGCCCAACACCAAAGCATTGCCAGTGTAATGTCTGGATGTCTGCAGATCACTTCGTCGATGCACCTATCATCTGCCGACGCTGAGACCCCTGACACAGCACGAGCTTGGCCTCACCTGACACCGAGTGACACCGAGTGACACCAAGCGACACCGAGTGTGTTCGGACATTGGGCTCGCTGCAGTTGCGCTGAGCGCGGTCGCAAGCCACACGCAGCGCTCACATAGTAACGACTGCCCCCTCCCCCGGAGGTAACTCCCGCCGCTCAGCACAGCGTGTTCATGTCTCGTCGGCCAGGCCCAGGACTAATGATGACGCAGCGAAGGCGTCCTGTTGGTGTTGGCCGTTCTGTGGGACGGATTTGGTCCGCCGCATACCGCCGATGTTCGGCGGAGGAGGAGACTTGCTCCGCGCATGACTCAAGCCGAACCCAGCGCGGCTAACAGGCTGTGCTGCTGGCTACTCTAGATATTAGATAACAAATGCCTGCACTGGTGAGTATTAGGCTGATTTGTGCACGGACGCAAAGCGGCCAGATGACATTATCTGATGGCGCGGACTGCGGCAGCAGCAGCCTCCAAGAAGGTTAGGGACGTGAAAGTTGATAAAACTTTCGCGTCCTTAAACTTTTCACGGCAAAGATGATACAACTTACACTTCCTCACGTCCTTGGTACAACTCACACGTATTTACCTTTCAGCGTGAGTTTTAACTGGTCATTTCTCACCATAAGCGATTCGCAGCGTGGTAGGAGGATTGGTAGCTGGAAATTACGGTGGACAAACTGTTTCCAACAAGACGTTCCTTGCAAGATACGTGTTGAACGCTACACAAAGTTTGGTAACACAGCACGTGGTATTTCTTTCGTGGGAACATGCACCACAAAAATAATGCGGGAAGTAATGATCTAACACGAACAAGTCGGTGATAACTGGGAATAATACAATGGATAATAAAAACAGTTCGAAAAAATGATTATCTGCATCAGACGTTATTGATGTAATCTCCACCAAACATCTGGAACGAAGCCTGCAGGTTGGCCGTGAAAATATTGTCATGCACGTGCAATCCTTCTGAATCACGAGGACAAAAATACAACACACCACAGTACCGCGCGGGATGCTGAGGATAGCCTATCGACAAGCGCCTCCAAGAAACTACTCGCGGCAGGAGGACCAGCAAACCCAGGTCCGAACACCCCCCGAGGTCAGCCTGCCGACCTTGTGTACCGCCGCTGGCACACCACTGCAGGAGGCGTGGGTTGCCGGGGGACGCCGCTGACCCCCGCACCATACCCCAGGCGCTCTGCCACGAAACTCACACTTGATGTTTACGACGTGATGCAGCGAGACGGGTGGCGACGAGGAGATGAGGCACTCGTACGTGCCGCTGTCCTGGGGCCGCACGTCGGTGATGACTAGGCTGTTGCCCTTAGGGCCGCTCTGCGAGAGCTTGACGCGCGTGTCCTTGCTGTTTGTGAAGCTGCCCGTGAAGAAGACCTTGGAGCCGGAGCGCCAGATGATGACCCCGGCCGCTACCGGACAGAATACAGCCTTAGTTGGAACCCTAGATCTGCGCCGTGCCGGTAACCAGAGCGGCAGGGATAGGAGGAGGGGACGACCGAGGTCACTCTGCAGTGAGGGGCAACGGGCTTGATCCTGATATTTCACGTTTTGTGAGACCCCGTACCTCTTGGGCATTTCAAGCCGCTCTACGTTCGATCAACAGGTGCGAACTCCATTAGCGCGTGTTAACTAACCTACTTTGGAGAGCGCACCACCCGTATTCACAAATAACGTTTCACCTTGCTCACCTTAACGTCATGTGACAGCAACCACTTATGTTCTATAATTGGATTATGAAATGCACTTAGCTAATGCACGTTTTCTTCATGCTCTACTGCACTTCTGAGCTCGTGTCATGGCAACAGGAGCCGAACGATACTGCAATGTGCTGACCCAAATCGGTGACGCCGATTGCTCAAATCAAGTTCCTTAGCCACGTGGTATGAGAATATGGAATGCCACGGGCTCGAAGCACAGCATGCGAATGATGATGTGGCCAGCAGACCTGAGAGGGACTAATCGCACATCTAACGGTACCAAACGTGGGACTATCCGGGGACGGCGCCCGACGTGGGACTATCCGGGGACGGCACCAGACGTGAGACTATCCTGGGACGGCACCTGACATGGGACTATCCGGGACGGCACCTGACATGGGACTATCCGGGGACGGCACTTAACGTAGGACTATCCGGGGACGGCACCTGGCGTGGGACTATCCGGGGACGGCACCTAACGTGGGGCTATTCAGGGACGGCAACAGACGTGTCGCCCCACCGCCGTGGCCGGTACGTGACCCCCACGGCCAGAGCGCGATCCCCCGCGACCGGCCGCTCTGCTCACCTTTGTCCATGTAGCAGGGCAGGGTGACGGTGTCTCCCGGCATGGCGTTCAGCTGCAGCGGCTCGGTGGTGAAGCGCGGCACGTGTGTCGACGCCACCTCCTCCACCTCCTCGTCGTAGAAGTAGTCGTCCCCAGGGGCAGCAGCTGGAAACAGAGACGACGTCATCAGGCGCGAAGCAACGGCGAAGCGGCGAAGCGAGGCCATGGGCTTGCAAGATGCAAAGGGTCGTAACGTACTGCAAGACACGCCATCCTCACACCGGTTGTTTGGTGGTACGGGCAGAGGCCACGGTAAAGCTTATTTCACACCTTGCATCTCACAGCACATTCACTACATTAGTTTTCTAGGCGCGCTTTTGGAAGTTGCATTTTTGGCTTTGAATGCTTCCTCCAGACTTATGTTCATGGTTATGGATGAGCACCGTCACATAAGCGTCGCGAGTCCAGACTGAAATCAGCTGATCCCTGCCGGTCACGTGACTGACAGTTTTACGTTTTCGAACGACCACTCAACACGAGACGGCGCCACCGCACTCACTGTCCCGGTCCAGCCGCACGCCGCGTGACACGCCCTGCTCCCCCCCCCCCCCCCCCCCCGCCACTGACGAGAATACGCACCATGGGGCACCATGTACGCCAGGCGCGGCATGCATGGTGCCCCACCTGGCTGCCACGCATGCATGGTGCCCCACCTGGCTTCCACGCATACATGGTGCCCCACCTGGCTCCCCCCGTCATCCCAGTATAGCCGCATGGGGCGCGCCGTTTTTGTGCCAGCTGGCCCACTGCGACGCTGGCCTAATGAACCCGCGCCGCCGCGTCACCCAGCAATGCGCGCGGTGCCGAGCGGTAGACAAACAGGACTTTTTGCGTCTGGTCCAATCACAGCCATTACGAGCGCTCATTCGCGCGCGCCTCGCGGCCCCGTGGACAGCTGCCGGGGCGCCTCGTGGGCTCGCGACGGCCCGGCGGTCTTTGTCATCAAAGGCTGCCGCCGAGCAGCGGCTCCCGAATGAAATCCCAGGCGCGCCACGACACAATGAACCAATCTTAGGCGTACCTTGTAGGCGCTGTAGAACGTACGCCTTATGGAGCCAAGGCACGAGGACCCGCACATTCCATCGGGGGCTATTTGGTGAGGCATCTATGTGGCTGTTAGCGGAGGCTTTTCCAGGGTTGTTCAGGCTAATGCGATAATAGCGTTAGATGAAGTCGTATAGCTTTAAGGTGGTTTCTCTGAAAACTAGACAAAAAAGGAGCCTATGACTCAAGTAATTCCCTTCCTCCCGGACCAGGTATAAATGGGGTAAAGTATATGATCAAGGTCGCACCCAAACACTTTTTTCATGAAAAATGATAAGTCTGATAGTTTTCACTCTTACTCTGACTATCTTAATCGCACGTCAACAGACATCGTATGGTGACATCATGAAGGCCAGGGAGAGTTACTGACTTAAAATGACCACAATCAGCCTGTTACTCTGGGGAACATGCCGCTTTGAGTAGTTCTTGACGTTGATTTTATGTTCAAATAGCAAAATGACATCAAAGGTTTTTTGCCTTGATATGTCCCCGATTCAACATTTACTAGGACAGAGCACCGAGGTTAAAGTCAGTTACGCGCGTGGAGATGCCTGGGGGTACCACTGATACGATCTCAACTTTAAGCTTGTTTGACCTTATTCTTCACTAAAGTCTCGACTTAGAAGGTCTTAAATTTGCCACAAATGGGTCTGCGTAGAGCCCTACCTATCTTGTGCACTTCCTGTTTCCAATTGTCTTGGTCTTCGGTACCTCGGGGGGGGGGGGGGGGGGGCAAATTGCCCAGACCCACTCGAGCACGTCGCATTCAATCGACACTCCACGCACTCCTTGAGCGGTACTTCGGTTCGGCATGTCCGTGGTCCCGCGATGCCAGCCCTGGGGCACGCTCCCCCGCTTCACCTGGCCACAGCGGACGCTCCACCGCCGCCCGTGCCCGAGCGTCCGGCGCCGATCGGGGCTCAGCCGGCCGCGGAATGTCTGTATTTGGCAGGTGGTGGTGGGGGGGGGGGGGGGGGGTCGCGGTGAACGGGACACGGAAAAGGCCCGCCCTCAGCGCTGTCGACTGAAGCCAGCTGGCGAGGATAGCATCCCCCAATGATGAGGCCACAGCAAGGTACAAATGCGTGCGCAAGCTTTTCCCCCAACTCTGGTCTCGAAGAGGACTGGGGCATCCTGCCGCAAGTTTTTGACCATGTGCTTAGTGTTCAGGTGCGGTGGACGGAAACGAAGACCAAATGTGGCGTCCATAGCCATGCATGTAGATAGGTAGTCATGCATGTAGACAGACTCCACGTTTCTACCCATTTACCAACACTTTCGGACCTATCATGCCTCCAAGACAAACCGACAGACATTCCCCGTCCACCGAACAGCCTGACCCATGGAGGACAAGGTACCTTTCATGAAGAAGCATCTCAAACGTCACTAAACATCGAACGGACTCATCCCACAAAGACGCCGCTCCAGTCCACACCGGAAGTGCGTGCGAGCATGCGTGAGCCTGCAGAGGACGACGGGCAGACGGGGCTGCTGGCGAGCACCGGAGGCGGCGGTGCAGCTCACTCAGCCATCGCCCCGATGGTGCGGTGGAGCCGCCTCTGTTGGCGCCCATAGGTGGACGCTCAGAGGACTCAGTGCGGTCGTGGGACGTACTGCATCAACACCCACGCTGATAGTGCATTAGAGGCGATTATCGATGCCGGCGTATGATTTAAAACACCATAAATTTTCCCGTCTTGAAAACTAATTGATTTGATTCGGGCTACGCCCATGTCAGAGCAGGTTAGCGTTCGCTAATGACGATTGCCGCCTAATGGCTTCGGAATTGCCTCACGAACGCTGCAATCACCGCCTCGTGTCGTTAGGTTGGTGTTTTCACACAGTGGGTGTTCGCAGCTCGCCCCTGCAGCATGTCATGTTTTGACAGCATTGCGCGTGCTGCGGCGGGAGCCCGCGTGATCGCGGCTGCAGCTCGCCAGCATGCCCGCAGCGCTCACGGCACGGGGATGTGGCCAAGGTGACTGAGTTCATGCAGGCCTGTGACGGGGTGCAGCGGGTGCGGCGAACGAGAGCGGTGACCCAGTCTGCCGGTCCCAGCTCGGGCCTTGGCACACTCCCCTGCAGCGTGAGCCAGGCCGTGGGGGGGGGGGGAGGGGAGGGGAGGGGAAGGGACGCAGGGGTCACGGGAGCAGAGGCCGAGGCCCAGGCTACCATCAAAAGGCATATGGTGAAAGGCCTGTAGTCCAAGTCCATACCATCATAAGCGGACAAACATTCGCCCGGTAGTGCGTGCGCCCAAAGAGCATTACCATGTGGGAACTGCTTGAGCGCTCGTCTACCAATAATCGCTCTTTCCTAATCGTGTCCTATTGTCTGACCTTGAATGACGATCAACATGCACCTCATTAGCGTAGTTTCGACGAGCTTGCTCATACAAATATGGTCCAGCCGAGCCCGAAGGATAGCATGCCGTTCACATAAATTAACTGCATCGCTGGCCAAATGAACGGGCTTAACGAAGAGAGTTTTTGTTTTGTTTCAATCTTGTTCACCTTTGCCGAGCACGAGGTCAGTTCACATGCGTAGTGCCGGCAATGGCCGGTAACCTAACGGCTGTAAATACGGAGTGCATCATTAATATGTGGAATTTTAAAGGTTCATTTCGGATCTAATGCCGTGCCTTCCCCTCGTCTCCGCAAACACGCTGGTACAGAGTACAACGTGCTGTTTTGAGATCGTTAAATTTGAATAAAGCACACTGGGTGAGCTGTCGAAGTCACCGGGCGGGCACTGAAACCTGGTCGGTGCGTATTTTCTGAGCAGACCACGTCATGCGCCTGTACACACGTGGGAAGGATGTGAAGGCGAATGGTCAGCTTGTGTGGCAAAGCTGATGGCCAGAGTTTTTCAGCTGTTAAACGAGTTCCCTGCACGCAATCGTACATCCAACGTCAGTTAGACGCTCTTTGCGGCGTGGAATGAGCGGGATGATACCATACACGAAACTCACCAGATATCATCATGTCGATTTACGAAAACTTTAAGTGTCATCACGAGACATCCTTGGGGAAGAACACAAATGTGCCCGATCAACGCATTCTGAAGTTCGCCTATCGTGACCGTGTAGCAGGTAAGGGTTATCGGGTTTGAAACTCGCATACTATGTCATAAATCATCTCACTTGAAAATTGGGTAGCTTGGGTTTCGTTACATTCGGCGAATTTATAATAATTTGTTCTTTTGGTGGCTTGTGCGCAGTAATTATTCGTGCGTTCCGGAAATTGTTGGGAAACACGCAATTGCTTTGGGCGAATGTAGGTTATATTCATTGCTCTTAGCAGGTCTCTTGGGAATCTCTCGGAATCTCTGTTCTGTATCATTATCATGATCTGTATTGCCACCATTATCATCTGTATAACCAATCCATTTGTATTGTGATGATCCCTATCATCATGGTCGCCATTATCCATACCAGTAGTATCGTTATCTGTGTAAGCATTATCGTTATCTATATTAGTTTTATCATATTCTGTATCATCGCTATAAATCATATTATCATCACTATAATCCTGGTCACTATCTGTATCATTAGGACCCACGGCTTACGCTCGAGCCCGGCTGGACGGCTGCAGGCATCGACCCGCACTTCTGTCAACACGATCGTCAATGCATCAGTCGATGTGGGTTTCTCGTCGCTGCGACACGGTACAGACCTGGGCGAGACATTCAGATCACCCGCGTTGCAGCGTGCGACGTGTTCTTGCATTATTGCTTTTTCATTATTTCTTGCATTATTTGCACTCGTGTTGCGAGGCTCCTTCGCATTTATACAAATGTCCGTCGCGATTTTACTGCAGCAATCGATGGGGAGGGATACAATGCGTTCATGAGACACGTTGCTAGAAAATGACAATGGGTCAAACGGTGCGGATGCAACTGCCTTACAACTGCCACGGCATGGCTTCTGAACAGTTGTGTTCCTTGCTTCTGCACACTGCGTGCTGTTATCACCAGTGGCTACAATCACATAAGATTCGAAAAAATCGTGACCGTGGGCCAGGCAGAGCCGCGCCTCTCAATGTCACATCACTGTTCAATCG